GCTCTAAGTGTGACAACATGAGAGAGCAGACAAGCCCCATAGTGGCCCTCCCTAGCCATGATTTTCCTGGGGTATAAAAGCTGCCTTTTCTCCTTTTGGAACAGAGCAATAAAAGACAGCTTACCCAGGCTGAGTGTGAGCCTCTGGACAGTCACTGTTCCTCAGCTGCAGCTGATGAGCCTCAGGAGGGAACTCCAGTGTTGAGTTTCACTCCTCTGGGCAAAACAAGAGTTCAGCACTGTCCTCTCTGCAAACGAAAAATGGCACCTACTGGGCCCAGATTCCCAACTCTAGTGGAGACAATGAGGGCAATTCAACAGCCCCTGCTTTACCTCATCTAATGCCAGTCCAAGTATTCCCAGTAATTAGGCCTTTCAGCCTGGAAAGGCTGGAGCCACAGCTGCTTCCTATTTTCCCAAAGCTGTACAGAGCATTAGTCATTTCACTGGGGCTGTTTTATTGCTGTGACTACAGCCAGAGCCCAGGCCAGCCAAAGCAGCCTGAATTCACAATGTGCTTCAGGAGCTGGACATGCTCCCCTGTCCCCTTGCTGAGTCCTGCTCTTTCCTCCCCACCCAAACAGCCCAAGGCTGCCTGGAGCAATGTCCTGCAGGGTCTGGGTTCTATCATGGACTGAGCTGACCCAGGGCTGGCTGGCACTGCCACCCCAGCCATTAATCATTAACCAGCCCTGGCAGTGACCTTGACACTCAATTAGTCATGTAGTCCTTCCTGAAGGTGAAGCTTTTCCTGGTGCTGTGCTGGTTGGAGAGGGGATGAGGGGTGGATTTAGCAAGCAGGAGTGCTGCTGTGGCTTTGTGTCTCCCTGATTTCTTAAGATTTTCTGAGCCTTCTGATGTTTCCATTCTTGTAGCAAACTTTCTCACACACTTTATATAAATAACTTACTGTTTTACATTCTTTTATAGAGGAAGAAAAGTTTGAGGGACTGTTGGTTTGTCCAGTGTCATTGGAGAGGTGGCACTGTCACCCTCCAATCCTCTGTCACTTTTGGAAAACTATAAATGTTGGAGTAAAACAATAAACTTCCCTTTTTCTTCACCTTGAGAGCAGCAGTGTGTGCACTTGTGTAGTAACAATTTTGGCAGTGCCCAAAGGGCAGTGGGTGTGAGGGGGACCCATCTGCCTTCACCCACCAGCTTTGCTGCCTGGGTTGTGCCAGGAAAAGCTTTGATTTTAGCTCTGGAGGCTCCAGGTGCCCCTGGCTGTAACATCCAGTCAAGGGCCAGGCACTGATGTTCAGTTTCCAGGTTCTCTGCCCTCAGTCAAGAGCAGCATTTGATCTTTGCAATTTCATTTATAGCACCTTAACAAGTGGGGATGACCCAGAGAGCAGCTCCAAGCCAGAAGCTGCCTTGGCTGTTCAGTGGCCACCTCCCAGCCCACCTTCAAGGGATGAACTTTTCTCCTCTTCCCTTGCAGAGAGGAAGATCTCCCTGGAAATGGTGGCGATGGGAGAGGCTGGTCCTGGAGGTGGAAATTGAGTGGTTCTATGTTATTAATGTGGGGGCAGAGAAATGAGCTACAGCTGCTTCTCCTCTCCTCCCCTCACAGGTAAAGCTGGGTCTGCCCAAGGAGGCAAATCCACCCCCTAACCAGTGACTTTCCCTGGTGAATTCCTGCCCCTGAGGTGGTTGACTCACACTTCTTGCCAATTTGCATTTCACCTAATGCTGAGCAAAACTGGTTTGACTGAGATAAGGGCTGCCCCAGACACTGCTGTTGAAACCCCACAGTGAATGCCCCAAGACTCTGGACATCCTTTTTTTTTTCCTTTTTAAATTCTAAAAGTTTCTGCCCTTCATAGTTTCAGCACAGATGGAAGATTTCACTCCATAAATACCAGATCTCATGTCTGGACAGGAGTTGAATTATGGGATCATCTGATTAAAACCTCACATTTAATCATTAATGAAATGAGCTGCTTCATTATGTAAGTCATATTCCTATTATTTCTAACTTGGCCACTGGCTGAAAGAAGCTGGAAAGTCCAAAGAAACAGCTAGCCTTGTCTGTGATTCACACTCCCCCAGCTAAAGCACTGAGGAGGAAGGGAGGGGCACCATTTCTCAGAGCAGTGGGGAGTCAGCACTGATTGTGAGCTTTCAGATGGAGAAAGGATCCCCAGGAGTGAAGGAGATCCAAGCTCCTCATTTCCAGTCAGACAGGTTTGGTTGGGGATCTGTGGGGCACTGCTGGCTCTCAGAGGAACCTCAGCATCCTTTGGGTTAATTTTCCAGGAGAGGTTGGGATGCTAAGAGGAGCAGGGATCCAGCTGTGTCTCACAGCTGGCCAGCTGCTGGTTCCTGAGCTGTGAGCAGGAGAGCAAGGTGCCTGCTGCCTTCCACAGGGAGAAGGGTCAGCAGTGCTAAAAAACTCCACTGCCCTCAAATATAAGTGTCTTTACTGGCTTTCTTTCCAGGTTCTTCCTGTTTTGATGCTGGAAGGAAAAACCCCTAAATAAATTAAAAAGATAGCTGAGGGAAGGAGGCTTCACTTGGCTTTTTCTTTGATAGGGAACTTTTAAATGTGATATTAAAAGAAAGGAGAGGTCTTTGGCTAAAGATCTGAGCTAAGACCATGTTTTTTATTTAGTTCCTGATAGCCCTCCCCTCCAGGGCTGTAGGTGAGTCAGGACACCATTTAGAACAGTGTCTGCCTCCTCTGTGGACACTGAAATATCCTCCTGGATCTGGCTTTTAACCTGCGTGGGTGTCAGTCACCTTTCTGGGAATTGAAGTGAAAAATGTCTTGTTTTGTGCTTGCTGTTTGTTTTCCTGCCTGGAAGCTCTCTGGAGGACCAGAGAGGGAGCTGAAAGTTGCTGAATGTGTTCCTGAGGCCTCATGGGCTCAGTCTCCAGCAGTCCTTCTGTGTTCAGGAAGGAGTGAGCCCTTCTGACTCCTCCTGCTGAGCCCTGCCCAGCTGTGCCTGCTCAGGGAGCAGAGAGGTGCTGGGGCTGTGCTCAAAACGCCCCAGGAAACACCTGAGCAAGGAGCCAGGATCTGGGAGGTCTGGATGGACCAATGTTGGCAGCATTTTTTGTGCTCTTACTTGGTGTTCACCTCTTCAGGGTGACCGGCACTTGCTGCTCGTAACGCGAGCAATAAAAACCTTCAGGCAGGGATCACAGCTCTGCTCTCCCCCTCCCTCAGAAGAACACTGAGCTGTGTTTTCTCTGAGCCTGGATTTGTGAGCAGGACTGGCTCACAGAAAGGCTGGTGTGGGTTGTGCCCCTGCACAAGCACAGCCTGTCCCGTGGCTGCTGCAGTGCAGCCAGCTCCAATAGGATCCAACTCCACGTTTTTATGGGCATTGCTTTGGGATTCCATTTGTTTCTGGGAGTTGCCCTGTAAACAAGCTGGGTTCTGAAGTTGTTTCTTGGGCAAAAACCTCAGCAGTAGGAGCAGGGAGCATAGCTCAGAATTTTTCCCCCACGACTGGTGGGTGTGGTAGAGGATGGATGGGAGACCTCCACCCATCAGAGGGGCAGCTGAAGACACAAAAACCATCTCAGATATTCTCAGACACCTTTGTGTGGGCAACCTGAAACCTGCTTCTTCCCCAAGGAGGCTGCAGAGCTTGGAGAGATGCTGGGATTTGTGTAAAATAGACATTCTGGGTATTGGTTGGCTCCCTCTGTGTGCTGCTGTGCCTGCATGGAGCTGGGAGCCTGGTGCCCTGCCCTGAGATACCTGGTTGAGTTTACACCTGAATGTTGGCCTGAAGTAGAAGAGCTTCATTCCTTGGGCTCCCCCAAGGCCAGGAGACCTGACCTGACCTGCAGTGACTGCCCCAGGGGGGCACAGGACTCCTGGAGGCCCTCTTGTGTCTCCTCCACCCCTCGTGCCATGGTGGGAACAAACCAGTACTGGTGTCAGGTCCAACGGCCCAGTGAGGATCCTTTCCACCTCTTCAAATCCAGGGAAAATGATCCCAATGGATCCTTTCCACCTCTTCAAATCCAGGGAAAATAATCCCCAATGGATCCTTTCCACCTCTTCAAATCCAGGGAAAATGATCCCCAATGGATCCTTTCCACCTCTTCAAATGCAGGGAAAATGATCCCCAATGGATCCTTTCCACCTCTTCAAATCCAGGGAAAATAATCCCCAATGGATCCTTTCCACCTCTTCAAATCCAGGGAAAATGATCCCCAATGGATCCTTTCCACCTCTTCAAATCCAGGGAAAATAATCCTCAATGGATCCTTTCCATGTGTTCAAATCCAGGGAAAATTATCCCCAATGGATACTTTCCACCTCTCCAAATCCAGGGAAAATAATCCCCAATGGATCCTTTCCCTGTGTTCAAATCCAGGGAAGATAATCCCCAATGGATCCTTTCCACCTCTTCAAATGCAGGGAAAATGATCCCCAATGGATCCTTTCCATGTGTTCAAATCCAGGGAAGAAAATCCCCAATGGATCCTTTCCACCTCTTCAAATCAATAATCCCCAATGGATCCTTTCCATGTGTTCAAATGCAGGGAAAATGATCCACAATGGATCCTTTCCACGTGTTCAAATCCAGAGAAAATAATCCCCAATGGATCCTTTCCACCTCTTCAAATCGAGGTAAAATAATCCCCAATGGATCCTTTCCATGTGTTCAAATCCAGGAAAAATGATCCCCAATGGATCCTTTCCATGTGTTCAAATCCAGGAAAAATGATCCCCAATGGATCCTTTCCACCTCTTCAAATCCAGGGAAACTGATCCCCCACCCAAACAGCAGTGTCCTATCCAGTGTTTGCTGGGCTGGGATCCTGCACTTTGCTTGGCCCTTCTTGAGCATGGATGGCCTGGGAATGGGGGTTCATCCCACCTAACTGTTAACAGCAGAGACAGAGACACTTCAAAATGTGGATTTTCTGTGTTAAACCTGCTCTGATAGCAAGAGGAACCCAGCTGACCAGCACACTCACTGTTACATCTAATTATATCATTATTTTGAGTTTTGCTCTTCCTTTGCCTTCTAGCTCAGCCTGCAGGATGACAGAAGGTGACACAAACCTCCCAAGCATCGAGAGGAAGCTGGGACTGCAGATATGGGGCATAGAGGTAGGACAAGAGGGATGGCACATGTCCTCTGTCACAGTCATGGCACATGTCCCCTGCACATCTGTGTGTTTGTGTTTCAGGGAAGATTAATTCTTGCAGCAGTCTGTGTGGGAAAAGAGGGTCCTAAAGATAAGATAGAGTGGGAAACAGACTGAGTATTTCCCCATGAAATGTTCAACATGTTATTGTTTTGGTTTCCTGCTCTGTAAAATGGAGATGATAATGTTTACAAAGGAAACAGGAACGGTGGGACTGAAGTAATTCCTCCAGCACTGGAGGCTTTTCTCACCCCTTTTTGGAATCAATGCAAGGCTGCTTTAACACACCAGAAATCCCCTGTTTCACCAAGATGGGTTATTCATAGGTAGTCTTAGTCTACACCAGCAGCTGGCATGGGGAAAACACCAATTTTTGCAGCAAAGGCATTCCATGGAGTCTATTTGTACTTCTTCCTTGCCTTTCCTACTCTGTGTCACTGCAAGGAGAGATCCTGCAGCTTGTGTGGTTGCCTTTTTGCTGGTGGTGGTATCTGGTTTTGGATTGCACCCGAGCTGTGCTCAACTCTGCTTTTTCTGCCCCAATTCACCAAGAACATTCCCCTGCAATGAGAGTGGGTTTAGACTGAGGTGCAGAATCCCTCAGGGCAGCAGAGGGAAGAGGCTCCAACATCTCCAGGTGATATTCAGCAGGTCACAACCATGTTCCAGATATCCCAGGGCCTTCCCCTTTCCATTTCTCTGCAAAGCACTGAGCTGAGCTGCTTCCAGAGGATCTGTAATTAGAGCTGTGTGGGTTCACAGGGGTCAGGCTGGTATGCTGGGAGACAAGTCAGGCCAGCAGAAGAATGCAAGGCTCTAATTTCAGGGAACCTCAGAGCCAGCTCCAGCCCAGGAGCTGCGTGGGGACTGGTGGGTGGCACAGCCAGGCACCTGTGCTGGGCAGGCATGGCTAATTATGCATGGTTAATTATGCACTTGTGCCAGAGGAAATCTGCAATTAGGGTCTGGAGGGGTGAGGGACCATCAGTGTTCTCAGCTCTGTTTTTTCTCAGCTGCTTGCCCTGAGCCCCTAGCAGAGGGGTTATCCTCACAAAGTGCTGAAAATTATCCTCGAACTCATGGGTACAAAGAACTGTGCCCAAAACTAAACCTAGGATGAGATGTCCTCACTCTCCTGAGATCATTTATTTTAATTTCCCTACAAATAAAAAATTTGTAGGGAAATCAAAACAAATAAAAATTGTAAATTAAAAAAAAGTAGGGAAATTCCCTACAAATGCAAACTCTGGAGCACTTCAGCCTGGGCCCAAGGTGTAGATCTACAGGATTGCACAAGGGCAAGGACACTAAAACATACTTGTCAGTCTGGCCAAGCAAAATCTTCATTTTCCATGCTCACTTCTTAGTACTTTGAATATTTCCTCCAGAAGTGGCTTTTCCCAGCTCACAAACTCAGCCCTGATTCTTCCTTCTCCAGCCCCTGATTGTCACCTCAGTGCTTTGTGCAGCCCAGCCTGTCCTGTTTCATACACACCAACTCCTGGCTCTTCACTTTTAGCAATGACCCCGACTCTGATTTCCTTTCAGAACATGAAGATGGTTCCTGTACCTGAAAAAGCTTATGGGACTTTTTTTGAAGGAGACTGTTACATCATTTTGCACGTAAGTAAGACAGCAAACACTGCTCTCTGTTGGGCAACTGGTTCAACCATTTTTATTTAGATTTGCCTTGGCTCCTAGCTACCTGTCCTGTGGAAAAAGCACCGCTGCAGTGGTTTTGCATGTGTGCTCACCATCTAATCATGGATCTGAATTTCACGTGGCTGTTGTGACAACACTGCCTGTTTAGTAAATCAGAAGTTCAGAGGAGCCATTAACTTAGTAATTCATTAGAAGTGTTTATCTTCCAATCAGCGAAGATTCTATCTTTCTTTCCTCCTGCAAACATCTCTGAGTCATGCCCAGGCATGGCAAAATGACCAGTACATTCCTGGAAAACTCAATCAAGGACCACATTTAAATGAATAATGGGAGTCTGTGGGGGATGTGGGATGTGACCAGCTGGAGGGTCTCATTTTTGGCAGGTGATGTGTGCCATGAAGATGCTCCATGTCCTGTGTCACGTAAGCAGCAGAGGCCCTGCAGCCCATCCCATGTCCCTATAAGGACACTTCAGCCCCACCCAAATTTGGTCCAGACCTACCTGAGCTGGCTGTGAAGGGCTGCTGAGAGCCAGCTCTGCTCTGTGCAAACTGCCTCGTGGTCTCAGATTTTGGCAGGAGGATGATGAGTTACACTCACCTCCTAAAATCCCTTCCAGATCTCTTCATCTGCATAGGGCAGCCCAGGTCCCATTGAACCCAAACCCATCACAGGGTGGAGACCAGAAGCATTTCCCACTTCCTGGGCCTGAGTGTGCCTCCTGCACACATCTCTGTCAGTGGAGAGGCAGCAACACCTCCAGTGCCCCACAATACCCAACTGCACATCATCCCCCCGGTGCCAGGATGGGAAGGCAGGCTGGGACAGCAGCACAGGATGTGTCTCCTGCTCAAATGCCCACACAGATGCCTCTAGGGTACTTTCTGAGTGCTGGAAGCCTGAGTTACAGGCCCACAAACACATGCTTAGAGCAGAATGCTGGAGTCCTTGCAGGGAGCTGGCAGTGTAAATATGGATTTTGATGCTCACAGGCTCAGCTTCTGTTGCAACAACTTCCCCAGGCAGAAGAGCCCTTCATCAGCCCACTATTCTCCTTTTCCCTGGAAGACAGGAGGGTAAAAACACTCATCTCTGCATTCTGCTTCTTTACTGGAGCCTTTCCAAATAATGATTGTCCGTGGGACAATGGGACTTTGATCATCTTCAATAGCAATGTATTAAATTGAGTGATTTTTCCACAAATTAATTATCTGTGCCTCAGGAGCAGAGCTGGATTTTATTCAACTCCTTCTGCTGTGTTTCGCTGTGGTATCACTGCACAAAGCAAATAAACAGAATTTAGTGTCAAATCCAGCTTATAAAATGAGCTTTTATTACCTTTCCCAGGTGTCCACAATGGGATTTAACACAGTGGGTGCAGAAAAATAACTGGCACAACTCAAATAACAATGAGCACACCTTCTTCTCAGCCTGCTTGCCTCCTTTTTCTAGGCTGCTGGGGTTTTCTGTAATAAGATGAATCCCAGCATGCACACACTGGCTCAGCTTCATTTGGAGTTATGTCTGTTTTGCAAGTCAGCAGGAATTCCAAGGCAGTTTGTGCTGCTCTGTCATGTGCTGTGAGAACGACAACAAGAAAGAAGGGGTAGCATCTCCAGGCAAATAAATAGCAATGTGCATTGCATTTCAAAAGGTATCCTATGAGAAGAACCTGCTTTAAGTCATAATATCAAAATGTACAATAGTAGAACAAGCTGAACACATTAATTGCACGGGCGCTCAGTTTTCCTTGATAATGGGAGTTATAAAAGAATATAAAACAGAAACATCCTTCAGTTCAGTCTATAAAACCCAGAAACTGCTCTGCTGAATGAGGAGAGCTCCAGGCTGAGCTCCCAGGGAGTACCTGAGGCTCTGTCCTCTCTCCCCTTGCCCAGGAGAAAGGCAGAACTGGGAAAGGTCTCCATGGTCACTTGGTTTTCCGACATAAAAATGTTTTCAGACACGGACACTCACTTGATAATAGGAGTTATAAAAGAGTATAAAACAGAAACATCCTTCAGTTCAGTTTATAAAACCCATAAACTGCTCTGCTGAATGAGGAGAGCTCCAGGTTGAGCCTCCAGGGAGTACCTGAGGCTCTGTCCTCTCTCCCCTTCCCCAGGAGAAAGGCAGAACTGGGAAAGGGCTCTGTGGTCACTTGGTTTTCCGACACAAAAATGTTTTCAGACACAAAAATGTTTTCAGACACAAAAATGTTTTCAGACATGGGTGCTGCGTTTTCCTTGATAATGGGAGTAAGAATATAAAACAGAAACATCCTTCAGTTCAGTGTATAAACCCATAAATTGCTCTGCTGAATGAGGAGAGCTCCAGGCTGAGCTCCCAGGGAGTACCTGAGGCTCTGCCCTCTCTCCCCTTCCCCAGGAGAAAGGCAGAACGGGGGAACTCCGTGGTCACTCTGTTTTCTGACACAAAAACGGGCTGTGCCTTCACCTGGACTTGTCCTTCCCGCCTCTTCCAGACCAAAAGGAGCTCCCGTGGCTCGGCTGTGGATCTGCACTACTGGATTGGCAAGGACTCCTCCCAGGACGAGCAGGGCGCCGCGGCCGTGTACGTGACACAGCTGGACACGGCGCTCGGGGGCAGCCCCGTGCAGCACCGCGAGGTGCAGGGACACGAGTCCGAGACCTTCCAGAGCTACTTCCGACACGGCATCATGTGAGTGGCACCAAATGACCCTCACCGAGGGGGGCTGTGGCCCCTGAGGTTCCCTCTGCTTCTCTCTAAGTCTCAAAAATGTGAAAAATACAGAAATCACAGAATGACTGGGTTGGAAGAGACCTTCAAGATCATGGAGTCCAACCCAGCCCCAACAGCTCAACCAAACCCTGGCCCCCAGTGCCACATCCAGGCTTTGTTAAACACACCCAGGCATGGGGACTCCACCACCTCCCTGGGCAGCCATTCCAGAACTTTCTCACTCTTTCTGTGAAAAACTTTTCCCTGCTCTCCAACCTGTATTTCCCCTGGTGCAGCTTGAGGCTGTGTGCTCTGGTTGTGTCAGTGCTGCTGCAGAAAGAGCCCAGGGCCAGCTGAGCACAGGCACCTTTCAGGAGCTGCAGAGAGTGATGGGGGCAGCCCTGAGTCTCCTTTGCTCCAGGCTGAGCACCCCCAGCTCCCTCAGGGCTTCCTCACAGGGTTTGTGTTCCCAGCCCCTCTGCAGCCTCCTTGTCCCCTCTGGACACTCCCCAGGTCCTCAAGGTCCTTCCCAAGCTGAGGGGCCAGAGCTGGGCACAGCACTCCAGGTGTGACCCCAGCAGTGCCAAGTAGAGGGACAGAATGACCTCCCTGGTCAGCACTGATGCTGGTTAAAATTCAGAGCAAAGAATTCCCATTTGGAGGAATTATTTATTCAGTCTGGAGCCGTGGCATTCTGTTCCACTGGTCATTTTCCCAGATTTTTGCAGTAAATGAATCTTAACCTCCCTTTTGTTCACCTCAGGGTCTTTGTTCCTCTCCTCCACAGACTTTGAAGTGTCCATTCCGAGCACTTCAGACTAATATCCACCTTGCAGTGAAGTGCTAATTTGGCTCATACTGGGTGTAATACTCTTGAAGTGGAAGGAAAAAGTGACTGAACCTTTGTCATCTAAAAGATACTGTTGAATATATGATATGTTGATATATTGAATGCAATCCCAGGGATTTTTTTTTTTTTTTTTTTTTTTTTTTTTTTTTTTTTTTTTTTTTTTTTTTTTGCTCACTCTTGGGTTTTTGGAAGGACTCCAGTTACTGTCCTCCAAGGAAGATCTTCATTGGCAATAAACAGCCTGAGTGCTTTGGTTTCAAACATCTGAAGGAAACTCAGATAATCCTGGGTCAATATCCTCCATCCCAGTCTGTCTGGATATCTCTGTCTTGTGCATCTCAACAACCTCTCATGAACCTCCTCAGAACTTTTCTGAGAGAGAAAAGCGCTTTTAGCCTCATCTTGAAGATGAGTAGGGGACAATGAAGGACTGAAAATCAGACCCTCAAAACCAGTCTGTCTGGAAAGCTGCCTCTGAAATCAGCTTTAGAATTCATCTGGGTCTAAACCACATCCCTGTGGTCAGTGAAGAAGTCTGAGGCAGAATGAGAAATTAAAGGAAGCTCTTTCCACATCTTGGCAGGTGGACTAATCACCACAGCATCCTCCTGTGGATATCTTAAGCTGGGCCAAACAAGTCTAGGGTGCTGTGAGTCACATTTCTGACCACATTAGCCAGTACTTTTCCACCTACGATAAAATACATCTAGTACCCACATGGCAAAAATTAAAATCAACAATTGTCCCTTTTTTCATCTAAATGGCAATTGTATTGTGTCAGTTATTACTGTAGTGTGAACAATGGATCTGTTTCTAAAATGCTCTAGGATATGTAAGAGTGGATTAGAATCACCCCAAAAAACCCACTGAAAGGGCTGTGGGACTTCTGTGGGGGGTTGTGCCCTCTCATGATTGTGAAAAGTTGCCACAAGAGAGGGGATGGCATTGTGGCATGAGGTGATAACAGTGCTGAGAGTGGCTGCTGCAAAGTGTGTGTTCAAGGATGGAAGAAAAAAAATTGGGAGGTAAAATCTGAGAGAAACACAGTGTCCTGTAAGTGTTTACAGTTTTGTTCTGCTTCTGGCCACAGTTTCCTCTCTAGGCTGCTTTTAATAAAATAGCTATTTTGAAAAAAACAAAATTTTAGCAGGAAGTTTGTTTTCTGCCAAGTCTGTTTCATATTTTAATTGAATGCTTATGGAATATTTCAATTTTGGGATGCCACTGCCGTGGTCAATGGGATTTTCAGTTTGGTTGGGATACAATTCCATTTCCATCCCTGACCTGCCTGTTCATCTTCTCCCAGGATGTTTAATGCTTGGAATCAATGATCTTGAAAGTCTTGTCCAACCTAAATGATTTTATGATTCTATAATTGTGTGCACAGCAGAAACACAACACCCATAAGAGGCAGACAGACACCTTGAACAGGACCATGAACAACAGTGAGGAACACAGCATTTGCCGCTGCAATTTTAGGACTTTGAGATTATTTTTCCTCTAGGTTTTTTTAGTTGCCACCAAAATCTTGGGATGTTCTCAGAGGGTAGAGGGGAAGGTATTTTCTAACCAGCTCTAACTCTTTATTCTCTGCTGCACAACAGCTACAAGAAGGGAGGAGTGGCTTCAGGATTTAAGCACGTGGAGACCAACATGTACAACATCAAGCGTCTCCTTCACGTCAAGGGCAAGAAGCACGTGTCAGCCACAGAGGTAAGAAGAAGACCTTGCTCTTCTTATAGATCATTTCTCCTTCCCTCTCCTCCTACACTCATTTTTGAGCAGATTTACAGGTGGGTATCTCATTTCTGCTCAATAACTTCTGTGACTGTGGTCACAAGGGTTTTCAGGATGAAGAAGAGACGAGAATGTTGACTCCATGATCAGAAGGCTTGATTTATTATTTTATGATATTTGTTACATTAAGACTATACTAAAAAGAAATAGAAAGGAAAAGGTTTCTTCAGAAGCTAGCTAAGCTAAGAATAGACAAGAATGAATAACAAAGATCTGTGTCTCTGACCGAGCAAGAGCCAGCTCTGCCATGAGTGGTCAGTAAATCCCAACATCCACAGGAGACCAATCACAGGTCTACCTGTTGCATTCCACAGCAGCAGATAACCATTGTTTACTTTTAGTTTCTGAAACTGCAGCTTCTCACAAGGAAAAATCCTAAGAAAGGATTTTTCATGAAAGATGTCTGTGACAAACTTCTATTTCAGTGTTCAAGTCCTCACTCGAGGGTTTGGTGTTAGCACTGTGCTCAGTGAGGAGCTGAGTGCCAGCAGAAGGAGCAGTCACTGCAAACCTGCTCTTGCATCCCCAGGGACAGGTTTGCCATGGCTGGGACTTGTCACCTGCAGCTCTCCTCGTCCTCCCCACTTTGCCAAACTCTCTAATTTCCCTGTGACAGGTAGCGCTCTCCTGGGACAGTTTCAACAAGGGAGATGTGTTCTTGCTGGACCTTGGTAAAGTGCTGATCCAGTGGAATGGACCCAGCTGCAGCATTGCTGAGAAATCCAGGGTGAGTACAGGCAAAAGACACTTGGCTTAAGGTGGCATTTTTTGATGCCTAGGGAAAAAAAATAAAGGAAAAAACTCACAGTGTTTTCACAGTGAAAATCTTATGACCAACAACATAGATATGACCAAATAATCATAAATCTTCTACTTGCCCGTCTGCTGGTTTTAGAGGCCCATGGAATTGCTTTGCTCCAGTTCAGACATGGCCTCAGGTTTGCATTCCACAGGCAGCCAAGGGCACATCACTAGTTCCAGCCCTAGAAAGTCATCCAGCTCCCTCTGGAGCTCATCTCCATCCCTCTGTGCCCTGTTGTTTGCATGGCATAGGATTAGAAAGTCAGCAGCTCCAGTAGGTTTAGCTGCAGTAACCACCCCAGGGTAGATTAATTTTAATTTTTTGTTTACAGCATCAACAGGGAATTCTGGCTTGGTCAGTATGAGACAAGCAGGAATACATAACCCAGGTGCTGATAGGTCAGATCTATAGCTCCTAAAGCACTTTGCAAAGGGATCATTACCCTTATTTTACTGATACAGGAGCCAAGATACAGAGATCTAATAAAGCAAGATACAGCCACAGGTCATCAGCAAAGCTGGTGGCCAAGCTTGTGGTCATTATAATATTAAAAGGCAAATGGATCTGCTCTGTGTGTGGTGTCCCCTGATGAACTGGGAGAGGGGGAATCTTCCCAGGGAATCTGCCCATTTTTGGGGCACAGTGGAGATCCTGTGGGTGCTGAAGAAGACACAAAGCAATCCTCAACACAGGAAGGGGAGCAGGTTTGTGGCTGCTGCGTTCATCTCAGGCCTCAAGCAGGTCATCCCCTATGTCTGATAAAGAGACAGGAGATAAAGAAAGGAGTCTTTCAAAGCTATTGCAGTAAGAGTCATGGGAACAAAAAAAATAAATCAATTGAAGATGGAGATTTCAGCCTAATTAGCTGCTTGACATTTCATGCTGCTTTTTTCACAAAGACATCCACGTTTTTTGAACACTTGAAACATTTAAATGTAAAATGTCACCGTGGGGCGGCCGGGGTCCTGCAGCTCTGCAGCATCCTGCTTCGTTGGCCTCAGCATGTGTTCCTCTGTCCCCCAGACCATCCCAGGGGACCACTGGAGCTGCTGGTGCACAGTCACACACAGGCAGTGCCTATTGTGGCTCCCACATGCCTGTGGCTCCCACATGCCTCCTCCCGTGTGCCCTGCGGGAGCAGCATCAACAGCGAGACAATTAGCAGTATTTCCCTTTGAGTTAGTTAATAATCAGGCATTACAGACATATCTGCTTCTTTAAATTTGGAAGGCACTAGGAGCTTCAGGGAGCTGTGGTAACCTGGCTGGGGCTGTTGGTTCTCAGTCACTGCTTGGGGCTGGCTGGCTTTGGGGTGTGTGTCAGGACTTACCCCTGTGGCTCCTTGTGCAGGGTCTTGCTCTGGCTCGGAGCATCAGGGACAGCGAGAGGGGCGGCCGTGCTCAGATTGGCATCATTGACAACGAGAGGGACTCCCCAGACCTGATGCAGATCATGAGGATGGTGCTGGGCGAGAGGCGCGGGGAGCTCCGCGACGCCGTCCCCGACACCAAAGCAGACGAGCTGCAGAAAGCCAACGTCAGGCTCTACCAGTGAGTCCTGTGCTCCAAACCCTGTCCCTTGTCCCAGGGGGCTCTGTGGGGTCTAACTCAGCTCGGTGGCTCTGTCTTGCAGTGTCTATGAGAAGGACAATGACCTGGTGGTGCAGGAGATCGCCACCCGGCCCCTGACGCAGGATCTGCTCCAGCACGAGGTGAGACAAAGGCCACGAGAGTGGCCTTTGCAGCCACAAAAGGAGGCTGTGGCTCACTTTGTTTTCAGCTGAGCACCTGTTTCCTGAAAATTATCAGGCCTTCCATCACTAGGAGAGCTTAGCCCTGCTGTTAGGTTAGGACAGCTTAGCCCTGCTACAATCTCAGCAGCCGGAGGTAGGTGGTGTGCTGAAGCTGTTCCAAGAAGAGATGGCAAATTGATGCTCTCAGCCAAGGATTATATTAGCTTGGCAATCACAGTGAGGGAGAGCTGCATACCAGGAATAAATTCCAGATGGAATGAAGGCTTCTTAATACCTGATGTTCAAGGATAGCCTTCCCTCTGCTGACTCCAGAGCAAATAAATACTCTGCTCACGAAACCGGGGAGATTTGTTTTCCTGTCATAGCAGGTGGCTGGTCTCAGTGATCCACCCTGGAAGGAGATTTCCTGACAGACCCTCTGTGCAGAGTTTTTCAGAAAACAGAGGCTTTTCCTCTGACTGAAATTTGGCAGAGAATTGCTCATCCTTAATTCTCTGGAGTGCAGACCAGCCTATTCCAACGCAGCACTGTGCCGCAAGGCTCCCACTCCCCTTTTCATCCTGATGTCAGCCTTGTTAAAATCTCAGCCTCCCTTTGCAGACACATTAAGCCCTTTTTCTTCTTTCATAGTTCAGTTTGAAAAAGGAGCAGCCTTTGGTCCCACAGTGTGTTTGGAGCATGAGCTGTCTGCAGTGGGGATGGGCTCAGCACACCCCTCATCCCTTTTGGGTTCGGGATCCTGCTGTGTTCACAGCAATGCAACACTGAGCTCCAGATCAGGGATCTCAGTGAGGACAAAATATTCATGCAGAAGATGTCTAACTTGGACCTTTCCTGCTCCTTTAGAAGCAGATTTGGGCATAAATACAGGCAGCAGTAGGGTAGAGTAGGTATTTCAGCATACACTTCTCCTGGCCCCTTTTAGAGCTGGTGATGTTTTTGCTTTGAGAACACCTCCTGTGAGGGGGTAATAGACAGTTTTGGGCAATGCCTAAGGAAAATACATACTTTAGCTAGTTAAAATTATAAATTATAATCAGCTGCCTGGGTCAGGTGTGCCCACACCTGTGAACCCCTGCCCAGTGGGGTTGGTGGTAGTTGTACTCCATTTATAAACCATAGGAAATTCATTCTCTGTCACCTCTGATAATAGCTGCACCAGGGTTAGAGCTCTGCAAGGCTCAGAAATGAGCTGGATATGCATCTAACTTAAATCTACAACAAGGATCCACCTGATTGGGCTACAAATAATGAGCTTTTCCTGTACAGAGTTTTTCACATTTGTTTTTTTCTGTTTCCTGTTTTTTTGGTTTAACCTCAGGACTGCTACATTTTAGACCAAGGTGGCTTCAAAATTTATGTCTGGAGAGGAAAAGCCTCCAGCCCAGAAGAGAAAAAAGCAGCATTCACTCGAGCTGTGGTGAGTTGGAATAGAGTGCAAACGATGTCGTGGGCGGTTGATACGTGCTGATCTACATCTGACCACTAATTACAATTAAGTGTAGCTCTTGGGGAGCTGGCCTGTGTAATAACAGAGAGAGAAGTTGAGTGTCTAGGGGAAGCATGATGACATAAATACACAATTGTTAGTCATCAAATTGTGCTAGGACCAAGACCTGCCACTAAAACTAAGAAAAAAATGGTAAAAGAAAATCAAGTATAAAAAGAAAATACCTTTCTACATGGTAAATAGTGACCTTCTGGGAACTGTTGGTTCAAGGCATGGTGGAGTCAGAAAGGATCAGCAGAGTCAAGAATTTGACCAGAAAAGGTGCATAAACAGATAATAAAGGGGTTCTGACATCCATGTCTCATTTTCTGTCAGAGCATTCATCAGCTCTTCCTCTCAGAAAAAATTAGCCTCGAGGGAGCCTGAGCAAGTAAGGAATTTGGTATTTTTTTACAAGTTAGCATGTTGAAGTGAAGACTATGAGGGAACATGGCTTTTAATTAGACATTTACTTCTGGGAAGACCATAAATGGCTTCATCTTCCATGAGATCTAACTAGGAGATACTGAACTTCAGTGAGTCCACCTTCAGCAAGGTCCTACCTGGAGACCCCCAGCTTCAATAGGATTGCACCTATTGGCTCATAGAAGAAAAGCTTAAAAATGCCTTAAAACTTATCTCACTGTCCTCTGTGCTCCTTTCAAGAGCTTGACTCAGACTCATTTCAGTAGGCAATCATCTCAGCAAATTCTGGCCCTGAGCTACACATGTAGAACAAAAGATGTGTCTGTCTTTCAGTGTGGCAGGTGGGAGGGACGGGAGAACCATCTGCTCTGCTTTTCCCTGAGGGCACTGTGTGGCTGCAGTTTTTACAGCAGAAGTTGGATGCTCAGAGAGCCACATTTAGGCTCCTTCCCACAGCTGCCAGCACTGCACCTCGGGTCATCCTGGAGCCTTCTGAGATAAACACAGGAGCAGTTCCCAAAGCCGAGCGAGTATTTTGGCATTGTGGCAGAACACAGAACATTTTCTTCCCACTCATATTGTATCAAGCACCTCTGTTGAAATAGTCTTTTAGCTCAATGATAGCACTATTGCAAAGAAATAATATGGGTTTAGGGAAAAAATAGAAAAAAGAAGAAAAAAATATTTGTGAGAGTTTAGTCCCTTCAGAACAGACCTCATGCTCTGGGTGTGCTGAGCTGCCTCCACCCCTTCACTCCCATGCTCTCTACCAGGCTGCAGGCAGAACAGTTTTCCTGACTTAGAGAGGGACAAAAAGTTTGGAGAAAAGGGGTAAGGGTAGGATTAAGTCCCCTAAAGACAGAAGTAAACGTGGATACTACAGCAAGAGTCTTCAGTTACTTCTGGTTAGTTTGAATGCAAATCTTGGATTGAATCGCACCCTGTGTTCAGTGAGGGACACTCTTCAAGCTGGTCCAGGTCCACACCCCTCTCCTCATGTCTGTAAAAAGCCAAAAGCTCACTAGTGACCTTTCTGAACCCCACCAGGGTTTTATCCAAGCCAAAGGCTATCCTTCATCCACCAACGTTGAGGTGATCAATGATGGAGCAGAGTCAGCCATGTTCAAACAGCTGTTCCAGAGGTGGACAGAAAAGAACGAAACACAAGGGCTGGGCAAGGTCTACACTACTGGCAAAATTGGTGAGCATGTTGGTCCTGGGTTTGTCTTTCCTACCTGTGCTAAGCAATAGCTGAGGGAGCATCATTCACATCAACTGTCTCCTGCCTTCAGGATCTCAAAAATCTAATTTACACTCTCCTAGTGCCTTCTATTTTCCATCTTCTTCAGTAGATGGAAAGGATTCATGAACTGAATGACATTCAGCTCTGCTGAATTTTCTTATATGAACCAAATTGCCACTTCCTCTGAATATAAATGGTGGCAGAGAGTCACTTCTCTCTGAAGAATTGTATGCAAAATTTCCCACTTGCAGATCTCCCAAATTTCCTTTATGAAGGGCTAATGCTGAGCCTGATAAGGAGCTCTGCTTTCATTTACACTGGCATCCATCCAGTCCCCTCCTGACGTCAGTGGAATGATGCTGTATTTACACAGGGTGTAAATGGTGTATTTATCACACTGCTGAAGGGAATATTACAATGCATTAACCCCAAGACTAAGCAATTCCAAAGAGAGAGAACTTGTTGATGAATGATGGGAAGGTGACAGAGATGCTGAACATCTCCATCAATAACAGCCTGAGAGCCACAAATCTCTTTCCCTTGCAAGTTCTCTCTTTTCTCTCCATCTCTGTTTCTCTCTGTGCTGTCTGTAAATGCTCTCTTTCTTTGCCATGAGCTGGAGAAATGTAGGCATTTTATTTCTGAAATCAGCATTTTGAAAGGAGGGAAATATTTATAGATTTGGAAAAAAATAAAGAATTTTCAGTCAGGAGATGAGTAATATTTTTACCAGCTAGCCATCACTGGAACATGCTGTGTGGCCAATTCCAGCCTGTCACAGGTCAACACTGAGGTGGGTTTGCTCTTGCATTTTCCAAAATCAGCATTGGTTTACTGGGGGCAGGAGTGGCTTTTTGCAAACCTGGACTGGGTTTTACTTGCTCTACAGTGGTTGTGGGAAGGGTTTGTGTCATGCATTCACTGGGTTCTTGTTTTTATTCTGTTTTTGTTCTTGTTTTTGTTTTGTTTGACGCAGCCAAGGTGGAGCAGGTGAAGTTTGACACCACCCAGCTCCACGCCAGGCCTGAGCTGGCAGCTGAGCAGAGGATGGTCGATGATGCCTCTGGGGAGGTTGAGGTGAGATAGCTCCTTTGGCTGGCAGAGGGTGCTGCAATCAGCCTCTTTCCAAGCATTACTTGGTTTGTTCAGCTTGGGGGAGGCTGAGGATGGACCTCATGGCACTTCACAGCTTCCTCACAAAGGGTAGGCACTGATCTCTTCCCTCCAGTCATGGGACCTGGGGGAACACCTGAAGCTTCAGTGGTGTGGTAGCCAAAGGGTTGTGCTCTGTCCTCACCTTGACTCCACAGCTGCTCACCAAGATGTTTTTTGTTCCCTAGGTGTGGAGGATTGAGGACTTGGAAATGCAGCCAGTGAATCCCAAGACGTATGGGCAGTTCTATGGAGGTGATTGCTACCTGGTTCTGTACACCTACCTGAGGTCAGGCAGACCCCACTACGTCCTCTACATGTGGCAGGTAGGTCAAAGCAGAGCAGAGGGCACTGTGCTGTGCCTGCTGCACAAGCCTAAAGCTGAAGGAAGCAATTGCACACAAAAATCCCAACCCAGGCACCCAGAAGAACTCGGGTACACTTTGCTCATCAATTTCAAATTTCCCAAGCTGTACTTTGTAGGTACAAAGTGGCATCAGGCTGAGCACCAGCAAAATCAGACAGAAAGACTGAAGAATGGTGGGGCTTACAGTGCTGAGGTCAAAGTTTGGAGTCAGTTCCTAGAATTATATGGGTATATGGATATCTCTGCTTTCCTTTTTAAAGTATATTTTCACGCAGAGAGAAGCTTCAAAATGGCACTCTAAAGTCTGCAAAACCAGAATGCCAGTGAAATTTAAATATCTGGAAGTTTTAACTCTGATCTCATGGTATTACACACTTTGGGACTGGCAGGTGTTGAATTGTGAAGAGGTTTGTAGGTTTGTACCCTTGCTCTCATCACGCTGTGTGGGTCACCCCTCTGTCCCCCAGGGCTGCCATGCCTCCGTGGATGAAATACCAGTTTCAAATACCCCAAGCTCTCCTTTGTAGGTAGCATGAACACTGATCCCAAACTGGCATTAGACTGAGCACCAGCAAAATCAGACAGAAAGACTGAAGAATGGTGGGGCTTACGGTGCTGAGGTCAAAGTTTGGAGTCGGATTGTCCCTTAAAGCCTCAGTTCCTAGAGTTCTGTGGGTATATGGACATCCCTGCTTTCTTTTTTGAAGTATATTTTCATGCAGAGAGAAGCTTCAAAATGGCACCCTAAAGTCTGCAAAACCAGAATGCCAGTGAAATTTAAATATCTGGAAGTTTTAACTCTGATCTCATGGTATTACACACTTTGGGACTGGCAGGTGTTGAATTGTGAAGAGGTTTGTACCCCTGCTCTCATCATGCTGTGTGTGTCACCCCCTGTCCCCCAGGGCCGCCACGCCTCTGTGGATGAAATCACTGCCTGTGCCCTCAATGCCATCGAGCTGGACAGGAAATACGGGGACGAGGCCGTGCAGGTGCGGGTGACCATGGGCAAGGAGCCCAGGCACTTCCTGGCCATCTTCAAGGGCAAGCTGGTCATCTACGAGGTAACCTGCTCTCGGGTTTTGTGTTGCTGAAATGGCTCCCCAGGTATTAAAAGTCTTTTTTCCCAGCCCCACAACCTAAGAAGAAGTCGAGATTCCTCAGCTCTGGTTTTCAAGGTTGTTTATTTTCTCTTATCCATTACATTCTTTCTCTGACCTGCTGAGATCTGTCTGGCAGATCGGGTTGAGGCCCTCTGACCACCCTTGGGGTGGTGTCAGCTTTTTGTACTAAGAACTACATGTACTTTATTTACAATAATTTTCCAATACCTATCACCTATGTTAGACAGTTTGTCTCTACTCTAAACCAATCCAGAAGTGTCACCATCACAGCAGAAGATGGAGGACAAGAAGAAGGAGAAGAAAGACAGGACATGCCCAGATTCCTCCATCTTGCCTCTTGAACCCCCATTCTAAAACCCCCAAAATTCTACTTTTTCACCCTGTGACAAATTAACCATCATTCTACTCAAACCCTTGTGGCTTGTAAATCCTCACACAAAGTTGGTAATTGTTTCCATGGACTAAAATCAAAGGCACAGGTGTTTTTGACTCTGTGCCAAGGTCTCTGAGCCCCCTCCCAGGGTCTCGAGTCCTCCAGGGCAGCCAGAGGAATGTCCTGGGTTCCAACAACCTGGCTTTGGGAGGTGGGAGCACCAACAGTGGCAGCTGCAGTGGAAATAGTCCAATCAAACTGGGCTGATAGTCAGGAAATGTCCCCCCAGGCTGGCAGAGGGGACATTTCTGGTACTCCTCAAGCAGTCTGAGCACTGCTGGAGTAAACACAGTCCTGGACTGGCCCAACTCACCTGAGCTCCACCCCTGAGCTGCAGCAGTGTGAGGTTCATTCTGACTCTGTCCCAAAATATTTTGCAGAGTTAGAATAAGGCAGTCATCCTGTGAATTACCAGTGCTGCTATCCAGAGAGGGTCCTTCAAAATATCCTACAAACATGATTTGCATTGTCCTTGCCTGAGTTACATCACATAGCCACCAGCCCACTTCACTTGCTGCCTTGGCTGCTGACATACATGGTGGAGAAATTCCACCTGTGGCTGTGGGAGAGGGGGATTGCCCTCAGCTCTCAGTGTTGGTCCCACTGTATGGTTTCCATGGCAGATGTTCAGTTAAGATGAGCACAGCTGGAAATCAGGGTACAGATGCCCTGCCCAGTTTTCATGGTAAATCCTCTACAGACACCAAGATCTGGTCACATGGACCTTGAGGGTCTTGATGGGAGCTGGTCAGGACTCTGCAATCAGGGAGAAATGTGGGAGTTGTGCCATGTAGGTTTCATTCTGACCTGGAATCAGAAGATACTTGGATTTCCTCGCCTGCTCAGTGCAGAACCATGGTTTATTATTATTGAATTTGTAAGCAACCCCAATGAGGGGAGGAATGATGAATCTGATTCCATTTCTTAGAAGGCTAATTTATTATGATATTACATTATATATTATATTAATGATATGATATGATATTATATGATATTATATGATGCTGTACTAAAACTATACTAAAGAATAGAGAAAAGATACAGACAGAAGGCTTAACAAAGAATGAATAATGAAAACTGTCTCCGCCAAAGTCCCAACACAGCTGGCTGTGATTGGTCATTAAGTTAGAGCAATTCACATGAAACCAATTAAAGAACCACCTTTTCAGTAAACAATCTCCAGACCACATTCCAAAGCAGCAAAACACAGGAGAAACAAATCTCCTAGTTATTGTTTTCATTTTTCTCTGAGCCTTCTCAGCTTCCCAGGAGAGGAAATCTGGTGGAGGGATTTTTCGGAAAATATGACCGTAACACATTATTGCAAGAGTGGGCAGGGCTGCAAGCCCAGAGCCTTCCTCAGATCAGTCGCACCCTGGATCTGTGTGTCCTCCTCACCTCTCAGTGCTACCTATTAGAATAATACCAACATAACTGAGGTTGCCTGGCCCTTGGTGCTGAACCAAACAGTGGCACTGTGGTGTTTCACCCCAGAGACACCTTTGGCTAGCTGGATATTGCAGCTGGGTGCTTGGAGACAAGTCCAGCCTTGCAGGAGCTCAGATTTACCTCTGGCAGAGATGCTTCAAGGTGATGGTGAAGGAAAGGCGTCGATTCTATTGGAAGGTTTTGATCCAGAGCTTTATTCTGGCCCACAGGCCTCTGAATCCAGCAACAGCTCCAACAGAACTCACAAACCGCGTGGTTGCTGCTCCTTTTAACCCTGGGGACAGGGGGAGGGAAAGGGTAGGAAGCCACCAACCAGGTATGGGAGAGGGGATATTAAAGGACACCTGGATGGCCTCATGTCCCCCCAGGGGTAGAGGGCATCCTTTGAATCTGCCAATCTCTCGACTCCCGTCTGGAATTCCAGGACTGACAGACGGTACTCGGCAGGGGACAAGAGAGATGGAAGGAGAGGTGACTGACACACCTGGCAGGGAATTATCAGGCAGGGATCCGAGGTTCTGGGGTGAACCCTGAAATCACAACGCAACAGCTGCCCTTGCCTCTCTCCTTGCAGGGCGGCACCAGCCGGGCTCAGCAGAGCAGCCCCGAGCCGGCGATCCGCCTCTTCCAGGTGAGGGGCACGGATGAGGTGAACACCAAGGCCACAGAGGTGCCAGCCCGAGCCTCCTCCCTCAACTCCAACGATGTCTTCCTGCTGAGCACCAGCCAGGTCTGCTACCTGTGGTGTGGGAAGGTGAGTCCGCAGTGAGACATGGGGACCAGCCAGGTCTGCTTGAGTCTGCTGCCTCTGCTAGGTCATGGAGATAAATCCTTGGGCAGGTGGCCCGTTAATTCAGTGGAGAAATGGCTTCAAGTTGTGCCAGGGGAGGTTAATACTGCATACTAAAAAAATTTTCTTCACAGAAAGCACTGGAACAGGCTGCCCAGGGCAATGGTGGAGTCAAAAGTGTTCAAAAATGCGTGGATGTGACACTTGATGACATGATTTAGTGGTGCTGGGCTGATGGTTGGACTTCATGATCTTAAAGGTCTTTTTCAACCTTAATGATTCAATGTTTCTGTGAGGAAAGGGCTCTGTCTGTGGAGGGTCAGCAGTAAAAGCCTTCTCTACAAAAGTAACCCATGTTGGGGTTCACCTCACCTCATTGTAGGTGTTCATACAACTTTCATTCAGATAATAAATCATCCCAGATTTTCCACCTGTAAGAAATGAGCCAGGATGAGAGCAAATTAATTTATCTTGTTTCAGTCATGTGTCAGGATGAGATGGTAGATCAAACCAAAGCAGAGAAGTTGTCGATGTCCCATCCCTGGAAGTGTTCAGAGCCATGTTGAATATGGCTTGGAGCATCCTGTTTGAATGGAAGGTGTTCCTGATAATCTTTAAAGTCCCTCCTAACCCAAATCATTCTGTCATTCAGTGAGGTTTGCTGCAGGTGCCATTGGCTGCACTAAATGTCCCTTCAAGGACTAGAAATTATTCTGATTCTGAGTGATCAGCTCAAGAGCACTCAAGCAGGCCTGAAGCTCTCCAGAGGACCAAGCCAGCTTTTCCCCACGGATAATTTTTGCCAGTCCCTAACTGCACCTCCATCTTTTATCCTGAACACAGGGATGCAGTGGAGATGAGCGGGAGATGGCAAAAATGGTGGCTGACATCGTTTCCAGAAGGGACAAACACACCATTCTGGAAGGACAGGAGCCTGCAGAGTTCTGGGAAGCTCTGGGAGGCAAAGCACCTTATGCCAGTGAAAAGAGGTAATAGTGACCTGCTTGTTCCTCTGGCCAGGGGACATTAGGCAAGGGATCACAACTTTGCAGGAAAGTGAATACTTTGATGCTGTGTCCCCAATAAAGGAAGCATGAGGCCAGAATATCACCAAGGCTTTGATCAGAAACCACACCAAGGTGTTTCTTCCCTGCCTTTTGGGCCAGGGGTTCTCCTGAAGTGGGTGCTACAGGTCCAAAGCCTGCAGACAAGGGTGTGCTACATCCTCCTTTCTCCCCAGTAAACGCATCCCATATCTTGTCCTGAGGGCTGCAGGAACCACATGCTCCATTTCCAGCCATTGTCAGCAGCAGCCCCAGGAGAATCCTGAGACTAGATCTGCCTTTGGACAGCATGGATTTCCCCAGCCCTCTGGGCTGGTGATGGTTTCTTCTGTAAAATGTGATCTGGTGTGGCTTTCACCTGACATCAAGCTCATTGCCACAATGAGGGAAGGGTTCTGCTTTTGCCTTTTTGGGTGAAGGAAAAAAATTACCTTTGAAAGTTATCAAAATGGTCTGAGAATCCCCTGATACCTGACATTGCTTCCAGCCCTTTAGATGAGTGCTGCCATGTTCCACCTCTCCCCTCAAGGCCACAAAAAGCACCTTCAGGGCCCTGCAGTAAGCCAGGAGGGAAAGATTTCCCCATTTTTTGCTTTTCCCTCCCCTGCCATGCACGAGGCAGGTTCCAGGAGCAGGTCACACACTACCAGCCTCGCCTCTTCGAGTGCTCCAACCAGACAGGTCGCTTCATCATGACGGAGGTGGTCGGGTTCTGCCAGGAGGACCTGGATGAAGATGATGTCATGCTGCTGGACACGTGGGAAGAGGTCAGAAAAAGCCTCCTCCCCTTCTCCTCAGACATGTTTTCAAGCAGGTTTATGGCTTTAGTTGGTGGTTATTGAGCTGGATCTTGGCCCATGACTGGGCTCAGCTACCTTGAAACATACAAGAGCTGTCACCTGAAATATTTATGCTCCATGCCTGTCTCAAAAGCAAAATCTTCCTTGTTTGGGGGTAAATTTGGGCTCAGAATCACAGGGGACTATTGGGACAACACATTTCCAGTCTTGTCTCTGCTCCCACTGGCAGGGGAGAGCAAACAGCTCTGTCTGCACAGGTTCTAATGCCTCACTGACCTTCAACTCCTTCTCCCCTTGCAGATTTTCCTTTGGGTTGGCAAAGCCTCCAACGCACAGGAGAGGAACGAGGCCATTGCCTCGGCCAAGGAGTATCTCAAGACCCACCCAGCTGGGAGGGACCTGGCAACTCCCATCATCCTGGTGAAGCAGGGCTATGAACCCCTCAACTTCACAGGGTGGTTCAACGCCTGGGACCCCTACAAATGGAGTGTAAGTTGCTGGAAAAGCCCTGTGGCTACTCAGGGGTGCCTGGAGGGTGTTGTTGCCAATGAATATAGGATGCATGGAGTGGAACCTCACTAGGAAATGTCCTGAGCTTCACAGAATCATGGAATGGCTTGGGTTGGAAGGGGCCTTAAAGATCATCCAGTTCCAGCCCCCTGCCATGTGCAGGGACATGAGTTCCTGGTGCTGTCTGAGCAGCTTCTGCTCCTTCACCAATAAAAAAGTACCTGTGTGGTGAAACAGAGGCTTTGGCAAATGGGCTTGAATTCACAATATTCATATTTTCATAAATATTAGGTTCCAAATCAAGTTTTTGATTTCAGCCAGAAAGAGGTGGGGACTATGAGTAGTAAAATCAAGTTCAGAGGGAAAACAGACACACCCACATCATAAAGGAAAAAAAAAAAAACCCAAACCAAAGCAACAGAAGTTCTTTGTTGAAAGTGCAGCCACAGAGGCAAACTTATGAGCCAGCTTTAAGGGCAAACTGTGGTGAAATGAAAGATGTGAGCAGACAGGTCTCATGTTCAGGTTTGTGGAAAGTCCATCAGAGCTCAGGAGCTCCTGAGCAAGGTCACCCTTGGTCCCTGCACACCAGCCTTCAAATCAGAGTTACAAATACCAGCTCCTCCCTATGCAGAAATGGAAACCTGTTCCAAGAGATGAGTGGGAAGGAAAAATTCCTTTCTCCCCTCTTTCCCCAGGACTCCACACTGCAGGAAAACTCTTACAGAGATATTTTATTTCCTGTATTTGAGTTTGCATTGTCTTTCTTCCCAATCCATGTGGTGGTGGATCCAGTCTTGACAGCTGGATCTGGAGAGATAAGACAGCAACTCACAGTGACCCTTAAAATATGTTGATGCTTAGAACAAAGGTCAAAACTTGTGGGTTTGTTTTATTTTTTTTTCCTGAGGAACTGCTGAAAAACAAGGATACAGCTCATAAAATATGTGCCTCTAAAAATATCCCCTGTAGGCAGCTTCAGCAACTACAGACAAGCCATCCAAACTGTTGACATCCCAGAAACATCTGGTGTGTGTTCTTTGCTCAGTTTTGGGTCTAAATCTGTTTTCTCTGCAGTCCATGTGTTTATGTTGCTTGTTCTTGTTGGGAAACTTTGTTGGATGTTTCTGTTGAGAACTGACATCTCCTGGCTGCTTAGGAAAACACAGCCATGAGCTTTGCCAATTTATCTAGATTCTTCCTTTTTTTTTTTAAATAGAAAATAAGAGGTATCTGGTAATACATGGCATCTAATTACAAGAAGTAAGGACTTGAGGCTTTGAAAAAAAATGTGTTGTTTTAGCTAAATGAAGTAGGAAAGTTGGAAAAAAGGAATACTTTCAGGCATTGCAAAATTCATCAAAAACGTAAAAGATTTAAATCCAGCAATGAATATTATTTCTCATTTGCCTTCTGCTCCAAAGTCTTTAAATTTCCTGGTTTCACCTGTTACTGTACAACTGCAAAGGCTGAAGTCCATTTTTTTTTTCTTTGTTTTGAAGTGAAAGCTCAGATTCTTCTGACTGCAGGGGCTGAGGTTTGCAGGAGCTGCCACATCAGTGGCCACCTCTGGGCTTTAAAATTCAGTATCTCCTGACCCAGGAGTGTGGGCTAAAGGCAGCCCATGGCTCTCACAGCTCTCTCTTTCCCTTTAGGATGGCAAATCCTACGAGGAAATGAAGAACAGCTTGGGAGATGTGTCGGCCATATCTGAGATCAAAGTGGTGAGTTGTGTCTTGGCCATACAAGTAGGAAACACCTGGGTTCACTCACCTCCACATCCCCCAGCCTGTTTGCACCAAGGAGGGGACACCAGGATGAGGGCAGGGATGGGAACCTCAGGCTGCCAGCACTGGAGCTGTGCTCCTCTGTGGGAAGCAGAGGGAGATGTGATAAATTACCCATAAATACACCCAGACCTCCTGGGCCTTTTCCAGTCCTGCCCAGAAGCATCTGTAAGCAGGACATTGTCCAGCTGCTCTAATGCAGAACAAATTAAGGCGTGTGCAGCTCTAAGAGGGTGTAGTGAAGTGTTTTGTGAATAGTTTACAGTGGTGGAGCCCCTGAGACCCCAAACAAGGGTCCCCTGGTCAAGAAGGGCACGGCCCAGTGGGGGATCCTCCAAACTAAATGATGTCCCAACATTTCCAAATGCCATTGTCACAGGGTCAGTTCTGCCCTGGGCAGGGTCAGGATGAAGGCTGGAAGGAAGTGGCAGGTTTGGATGAGGAGAGATGGCTGATCAGGGAGGGGTGTGCAGGCAATTTAGATGTTTTAGACATGGTAGACATCTAACCTCACCTTCTGTCATCCCACATGTGCCTTCCCCTGATGTTATCTTGAGAAGAATGAGACTGCTGTAAGTATCCTCAGTTCTTTATAAGAGCTCTCGCTAGTGTGTGCTTTTAGCAGTCCTAACACCAAGGTGTAGCATTTATGGAGGCACTGCACTAACACTTCAGGTGGGACTTTCCCCTTGCTGCTTTGGAGCTACAGATAGTCTGTGCCAGAAATAGTCCCCCACAACCCCAGCAGAAAGATCCTGGCATCTTCCCCACCTTGCTCTGCCAGAGCATCTCATCATGAGGTGTTTTCCTCCGTTTGGCAGGACCTGAACAACCTCAGCCTGAACAAGAGAACCCTCAGCACCACCAGCCTGGCTGGTTCAGCTGCAGCCAATGTCTCCTCGGAGTACAAATCTCACTTCAGCCACAGTGACAGCAACAGCAACAGCTACAGCAACAACAGCAACAGCAACAACTACAGCAGCAGCAACAGCCACAGCAGCCCTGCCATGGTGCCCAACGGGGAGGGGATTTACTCCCGGGAGGTGCTGATGCACAGGACTGTGGATGAGCTTCCCGAAGGCGTGGATCCCACTAAAAAAGAGGTGATGGCATTGCTGCTTTGATCCCTTTCTAACTTAACCTGCAGCTGGCTGAGTGTGCTTTAGACCACCAAGTCCTGCTCAGACTCAAGGGGACACTGGCAGGACACACAGGGGTCACCAAAAGCAGGAGCTTTGTGTGAGGAAGTTCATAGGACCATAGAATGGTTGGGTTGTAAGGGAGCTAAAAGGTGGTCTAGTTCCAAACCCCCACTGTGGAAAGGAACACCTTGTGGTGGTTTTAGCCTAGTAGAAGTAATTATGGGGTTTCTATGGCAGAAAAAAAAACCAAACAATTTTAAGTAGTAATTTTTAAAAAATGTTTTCTTCTGGTAGAATTGTTTTGCTCTGCCACCCAACTTCTGTCCTCAGAGGGACAGGGGGACAAGGTGACACAGCTGAGAGCTAAGACAGAATTTGCATTTTACTTGAGCTGTAGGTGAATATTTTAATTTGCAACTTCTCCCAGAAGGGATGGTTTGTTTGTTTTTTTATTAATTGCAGAAAGCTTGCATTTCAGCAGTTTTCAATTTCAGAAGAAATTACACATCCCAGATTTCTAGTCAGCCCAAGGATTTCAGCAGTGTCTGCAGCTGAATCCAAGCAAGCTGATGGGGGGCACAGAAGATTGATTCCATCTATTCCCTGTAATCCTTGTTTGACCAATGTCTTACCCAACAGATCTGGCAAAGGCCAGCACCCACAGCCAGAGCCATGATCCACAGCTGGGCTCTACATGGGTTCTTCTACCCAAACTACCAGGAAAAAGCTCAACCTCCCATTCCCACAGGGCCTTTGTCAGCATCCCTGATGAGCCTGATTTCTGCAAACCCTCTATTTCCAGCAATGGGAGTGAACATTTCCAGTGAATATTTTAGGAGAGGGGACTGAGCAGGGGGAGATGCTTTCACTGTGAATCACTGCCTAAAACTCTGGCCAGCAGAGCTTCCCTGGTGGGCCATAAATTGTCCTGGCCACAGTATGATCAGCAGGGGCTAAATTCCAGCCAGAGCATGCTAACTCCTCAAAACTGGAACATCTCTTTGGGCTGGTGGGCTTTTATTCCCCTGGTGCTTTGGGAAGTGGGATGAGGAACAGGCGGCTGGGATGTTGCATTTCCCAGCTCGAGGACAGGGAGCTGAGCAGGAGCTGTTGGTCTGGAGTCAGAGGTCAGCACTGGCACATGGGGAGGGGATGCAGCCATGGGGGTGTCCAGGCTCTGCAGAAGCCAAAGCTGACCTGTCCTCTCTCCTCACTGCAGTGCTATCTGTCTGATGCCGATTTCCATGATATCTTTGGGAAGTCCAAGGACGAGTTCTACCAGATGCCCAAATGGAAGCAGCAGAATGAGAAGAAGCAATTTGGACTCTTCTGAGACTGCAGGGGGCATCTGATGACTCTGGGACCAGCCCCTGCTCCCTTAGGAGCTGCAGAAAAGAAGTGCAGGCATTTCCTCAGTGACCCCAACCCAGCAGCCCAATCCAACGCAGTTATTCCAGCAGCCACTGTTCAGGAGATGGCTCCTTTCTCCCTGCAAACCCAGAACCCCAGGAGGAAAAACCTTTTTCAGGAACAGCTTCTTGACAAGATGTTTTTGCCTCTTCCTGACACTTTATTGCTGATAGCCATGAAGACAAGTGTGTGCCACACAACTGCATTGTAGCCTCATCTTTCCTCTCCCTTTTGCAAATTGCCACATGCACCAGGCCATGATCTTCCTTCATTTGTAGAAGTTTAAAGTTAGTCGAGACAAAGGCCATTTGCAGCTGCTGTGTGAATTCTGGGTGGGGAGAGGAGGGGGAAGCCCTCAGAGGATGGAGGGGGAGCCTTGAGGTCAGGGAAAAGCCAGATGCCTGATGAGGTACTCTGTGGAGTGACACCAGACACTTCTGCCCCTTCTCACCAAAAAACAGCAAGAATCAGGTCCAGATAAACATGCATAGCCCAGGGCAGGTAAAACACATGAGAACCTGGTTTGGGGTGAAAAAAACACTTATTATGAGCATATTTATTAGCTGATGTTTCCAGAGGATGATGACACTGAAGGCTAGACACAAATATTGATTTTTGACTGCCAGACAAGACTCTGTCTATTTTTTTTTCTTATTCAGACAGCATCTGCAATCTCACCTGGCCTCCCTGACCATGGCCAGGTGAATGTCAGAGTCCACCAGGCCACAGACCAGAGGCTTGAGGAAGCCAGGAAGGTGTTGGGTATGACCTGAGGCAGAGGGTGTCCTACTGAAGTTTTTATCAGGGCTCCATCCCTGTGATGTCCACGAGAGTGCTGGTTCCACACTGTGGGATCAGTCTGACTGGGGAGGGCAGTGGGAAATGTGGGCAGTCAGTGATTACAGGATAAAAATGTAAACTAAAGGAAAAAACACCACCTTTAAAAACTCAGACAATGTGGGTTTGCAGCTTTACTCCATTTCCAACCTGATCAGTGATTCCAAATAAACATCCAGCAGCAGCACTCTAAGTGTCCTTGATCAGCATGGAGGGTAGGATGGCAGCAGATAAAAGCTCTGCAGGGCCACAGATCCTTCAAACACCTGGTCATCAATGGAATTTTGGATTTTTTTTGAAAAGAAAAGAACAAACTGAGGAGGTGGGGCCCCTTCAGTTCCCAAACTCCACGTAGCTGGGGCCATTTGTCCCCCACACCCGTGTACCCTGCTCCTGGAGCCCCACTGGCAGTGGGCAGCAGTACCTGGCAGTTCAGCAGCTGGCCTGACTGCAGGGAGGTGGGCAGGGAGCTGGGGAGCTTCAGGCTGTGGATTGAGGGGCAAAGAGCTCTCACTCAACATCCAGGACCACATCATGGTGCAGAAGTGTCACAATCCGGCTGGGCTGGAGAACTTTAAGAATTGGTAGTTAACTCAAATAAACCCCAGCCCCATTGTTTTGTCCCTGTTCCTACCACCACTTCATCCCATTTCTGCTTCAGGGTCCAGCCCAAAACCCACTGGAATACCCTGTGCAGAGTAAAGCATCAAGCAGAGACACAAATCAGCTGAATTACCTGTGTGATTGCTCCTGTTGTGTTCACAAGAGATGCAATCAGTGCACATTACCCACTTTTCAACCTCTGTTGGCCCTGCTGGAATCAGCAATATTTGCCTTGCCTTGCTGAGGAGTGCTGCTGCCAGCTCCCAAATTAAAGAATTGCATGTGCTCCTCAGTAAGATGCAGGAATGCCACCTACCTGTGGGCCTAACCAGCTCCACACAATCAGATGAAGATCAGCCAAAATACAGTCAGATTATAGAGATTAGGCCAGTTTGCTGCCAATTGCTTTAATTCCTGTGGCCAGCACACTCACCAACACGAGTGCAGTGCTCCTGGCAGCGCTCAGGGACCAGCCTGGGATTTCACAGCTCACAGAGCCTTCTGATACCTGGGCCTGATGGAAACTGCTGCTGCACTCCTCTCCTCATGGGGGAGTTGCTTTTACTCCCCACCTCTGATTTCTAAAAGAAAAACCCTCTCCCACTTCCTCTCTTTGGTGCCTTTTGCTGTGATGTCAGTGGCCATGTCCTGTTTCTGCCGCTCTTTTCCCCAGAGCTCTTCCCTCCAGTGGGGCTGCAGCACTTCTGATCTGTTCAGAGATGATCTCAGGTGAGAACAATGTGGACATGTCCCTTCCTTTGGGACCCTGCAGCATTGTCATCATGCTCTGCCCACCCCATCTCCATCTCAGCTCCTTTCCTACCTGGCTATAGTAGCTTTCCCCAGCTGTTTCTATTTGATAAAGGATGTTTTTTCATCCCATAGATCTTGCCTACCTTTAAGTGCAAAACAAGCAGAGGAAACCCCAGCTTCTCTGTGCAATCCATCCAAGCCCACCCTGACCCTGGCCACCTGGTCCCCCACTTCTCTGGTGCTGGCCACAGCAGGCAGGTGAGGGCTTTAGCTCAATATCCCACCTGAAATATAACCCTGCCATCCAAAAAATCCAAGTACTAAGTCCACAGCCAACCCAGCAGGCTGATCTGGCCTCACAGAGGAGCAGAATCACAGAATGCTTTGCATTGGGAGGGGCCTTAAAGATCATCCAGTTCCAATTTCCTGCCATGGACAGGGACACCCTCCACTGTCCCAGGTTTCTCGGAGCCCCAAAAGTGGCCTTGAACATTCCCAGTGATGGGGCATCCCCAGCTTCTCTGGGAAGCCTCTTCCAGTGCCTCGCTGCTTTCACAGGGGAAGAATTTCTTTCTAACTTGCCCCACAAGAGCTGGTGTTGGCACAAGTGAGGGGGCAGGAGCATTTCTTACCACCTTCACCTCTGCTTTTCATCCCATGGCTCCCTAAAACAAAGTGCTGAGAGCAGGGACCAAACTCAGGCTGTCCCTGGGTGGGAGTCAAGGGTGTTCATCCTTGGCCTTCCAATGTGTCCCCAGCAATGTGCCCCATCCCAGAGGTGACCTGGGAGAGCCTGTGTCACTGCAGGGCCCCCTGTTCTGCCTCACTGGCCACTCCTGAGCTCTTCCAGCTGGCTGGTGGTTAATGCAATATCAGCCCTTGAGGTGTGGGTTTAATTCACATTTAATCTGGCAATGGTTTACAACATCACACAGTATTGTAGTCAAGAGGAAAAATCAATGTGTCCAATGTTTACTGCAGCATAACAAACTCCAGGGAGGACTAAAAGAATCCCAGCTTTGCAGAGGGCCTAAAAATCACTAAATCCAGGCTATTTTGGACTAAAAAATAAGATGACCAGAGTATGTTTAAAAGGACATTAACATCTTTGGTATCAGCCCCTCATCTTCACCACCAGGGATCAGAATCCCCAGGAATCCTGATAATTTAAGAAATCAAGCAGGTCTAGCTCCAAATTCATGCATGTTGCAGTCGAGTAGGACAAAGAGGCAAATAGTGACAAGTCATTGAACGCTTCCAGAATTTGTTTTAAACTTTTAATAGTCTAACATACTGTTAGCAACACAGTCGGCACTTCAAAATATATATTATTTTATTTCAACAATATTCCCTTAACTCTGTAGCTCTGCTTGAGGACAAATCACTCATTGCCATAAATACTGTGTTGTTCTCAAAACATTCTCATGCTGGGTTACCTCTACAGTGCAGCTGGGACCTGCTAGAACTTAAAACATCTACTTCCTGTCTGTTAAAAAATGACATTTTTCTGTAAAAACACCAAGTTTTACTGTATTAAAAAAAAAAACCAACCCAAAAAAAAAGCCCTGCTGGCAGTTGAGCCTGCTCCCTCTGTCTTTGGCACAAGACCTTCTCTGAGGTCCCTTTGAGTGGGTTTCACTTTGGGTCAGAGGGAAATCTGCTGTTCGGCAGCTTCTTTCTCCTTCACAGGATGAGAGCTGAGCTTTGAATGCAAAGTGGCCTGGCTGAGAGCCAGGCACACAGGCAGAGTAGTGCTCGTGTATTTTTTATTACAACACAAAAGGAAACTCGGGTTACATAACACGGGGCTTTGTAGTGCAGCTTTCTTTTTTAATCTGTAACAGAAAGGAGGGGAATGCTGTCCCCGTTTAGGGCTTCATATGGTGAAAGATGGATGACACCTGCAGTTGCAAGGAGCCACCTGGCACCTGGCCACTGATTGCAGTGCTGAGGGAGACTTTTCCTTGCACAGATGTTGGGTGCTTTGCCCAGATGCCTGACTGAGCCCAACCCAGGAGCTGTACTTCACTAAAAAAGGAGTCCCCATCCTCTCGCTAAAAGCAACATTAAAAAAAATGGAAATAAAGTGAACTAAAACCACAGCTGGATTGGTTGAACAGGTACAAAAGGATTAATCTCATCAGCAGCATTAGGATGTTTCCAGCAGCAGGGAGAAGGTCGATGGCTGTCTCACACCGGGGTCCTACAGAGCACCGAGTGCTGCTCCAGGGAAGGTGCTGGGGACTGACCCTGGCACTGGCAGGGCTCACACACACTGAATTCCTTCCAGGTCTGTAGGGAGGCTCTCTGTGGCCTGGAGGAGCCAGGCTGCTACTCACAGTCCTGGATGTTGACGTAGACAAAGAGGGTGGAGGAGGAGTAGGGGTCTCCGTTCTTGGTCAGGAGATGGATGTGGCGATAACCTGGAAGCAGAGACAGATGGAAAATGGCCTTTAGTCCGTCTGGAAAAGTGTTTGCTCACGTTTGCCAAGACCCTGCACAGACATCTCCCTGTCTCAGAGCATTCTGTCCCCATTTCCCACAGGGTGATGAACAGGCAGGTCCCAGAAGCACAGCTCTGAGCATGGGTAACACAACGTGCCCAAGGTCTCTGGTGACAACAGGTGCCAAAAAATCCACTCTGACCCCAGCTGTGATGGATCTGGACCACTCATCCAGGACACCGGAGCTTCCCAGAGGGCTCAGAGGCTGTGAGGAGCAGGCAGCAGGGCCTTACCTTGCTTCAGACTCGTGAAGGGAAGGGTGTATTGCCCGATGAAATCATTCTTGGTCGACATGTCAAAGTCCTCCACCACAAACCGGACCAGGGCAAGTGCAGGGATCTCTA